AACTTAGGGAAGTAACAGTCTATCATTAAGCGAAGTCAGGGCAGAAACTCAAGCAGGGTAGGAACCTGGAGACAGGAACTGAAGCAAAAGCTGTGGAATAACATTGCTTACTGACTTGCGCCTCGTAGTTTGCTCAGCCTGCTTTCTTATATCACCCAGGACCACTAAGCCATGATGGCACCACCTCCAGTGGGCTAGGCCCTCCTCCATCAATCATTAATTGGGGAAGTGTCTCATAGACTTCCCCATAGGCCACCCTGGTGAAGACATTTTCTCAGCTGAGGTTCCCTCTTCCCAAATGATTCCAGCACACGTCAAGTTGACAGCACACGAACCAGCCCGGGTCAGACTGTGACGTGGCTCTTCTGACCCTATAGATACCCCTACTGAACAGCTTTCCAGTGCTTTCATGAAAGGGCAATCCATGAGTCCAAGAAGAGAAGGATAAGGAAGTTTCCAGAAGGCAGCTGAGGTAGCAGAGCTGTGTCTGAAGAGTTGGCGTCAACTTGGCAAAGAGGTAGACTCTTGACATGTTGAATGCAGATAGTGATGTGTTAGGAAATTAGTCAGGGCTGAGTTTCAAGTGACAGAAACGTATGGAAATTTGCATAAGTAGGGGGCAGGGACAGTCTGCGTAGGTAACTGAGAAAAACAAGATTTTAGAATCACAGCGCTTGCATGAGCGTTTGCAGATGGGTTAGCCCACAGCTTGTCCCTTTCTCTCCCTCGGGCGCCACACAGTGCACTCACCCTCAGCTTCATTTCCTGGCATGCCTACACGGCGTCGGAGTGACCAGCTGATGCAAAGCAACGCTCTTGTTGTGTCAGACGATAGAACCCCTTGGTTGACGGTCTGTCCCTAACACTTTCACCCAAAGTCCTGAGCCTGGAGTTCTGTCATTCCCCACACCAGCAACTGAGAGCAGCTTCACCCTAAATCAGGGACTGACCTCTGGAGCTGGAGATGATGCTGGATTTGTCCCAATGTGAAAATGAAAGACAGCTCGTTTCCAAAGTAGAAGGAGGCTAAACAGTTGTTGGCAAAGGCAGGCTTGTGCCAGACGTTATAGGTGCTGGACACAGATTCCGTCCTCACAGTTCCTGCATGTGGAATATTTATGTCATTTCATTGGCAAGGAAACGGCAGTCAGTGGATTTACCTATAGTTGTGGCTCTAAAGTGGAAAGGCTAGGTTTTATTTACCCCGGGCGGTCTGGTGTTGAAGTCTGCCTGTGGTCTCAGCTCCTAAGCTCCTGGTCCTCACAGACTCAGGCAGCAATGATGGAGTAGGAAATGCAAGCCAGCCATAGCCAAAATTCTAGGGAAGACTATGAGGTAGGGTCACAAAACAGCCAAATTTAGAATCACGGAAGAGAGAAGTGGCGATTCTGTCCTGTGGCTCAAGTATCGGAGTGTTTGCGCTGGAATCATCACACAGACTGGGTTGTACCATTCACAGATACCATCTCTGCACTCTCTAGCATGGCCTTGTGTTTTAATAAAAAAGGGATATTGATCTCTGTCTTGAGTGACAAGGTTTGGCTTTGGATGAGTCAAGGCTGTAGCCAGAAGTCTAAGGCAGCTGATGGTTTTCTGTCTTTGGGAATGGGTGGCTAGACTAAAGGCAGTTCCCAATGGGGAGCAGCTACCCTCACATCTGTGGCCTTAAAGGTAAAGGGGCGTAGCTGCCCGCCTTCCTGGGACTTCAGCTCTGCCAGGGACGATTCCTGACCATGCATTGACCTGTGTTCCGTCAGGAGCACTGGGTTGTTGGTCAGAGTGGTGTGCGAGCTCAGAAGCACCTTTGTGTCTGGCAGCAGAGGGTGCTCAGGAGAGTTGAAATGTGAGTCACACTGGAATGTGCTGCTATGCAATGGGCCCCGGCTTGTCAGGCCTCTGGGTGAGCTGGCTCTCAGCCAGGAAGCCTGTGATGGCTGAGGCCTTCTGAATCCTCTCTCTGGTTCTTTAACGTCCCAGTGGGGAGGAATCTGCTGGGGCTTGTGCCTGCCCACTCCAGACCTGCTGGCAGAGACTAGAAATGTGGATTTCCCTGGGTGAGCACCTCTCACCCACATTCCTCCTCTCCCTCTTGGGGAGGGTTGGACTGGGAGACCTGAGGGACCCCTGCCAGCTGTAATTCCCTCATTTTGCAGTCACTGGCGAGTTTGCTAATAGGACCCGTGGAGGCTTCCTTGGTCTCATCTTCTGGGCTGGAAGCTTTGCGTCCATTTTTATTCTCCCTGAGGCTGCCTTTATGATGTTGACTCTCTTACAAAGTATGAAAGCCATTCTCCACCAAAGTTATTCAGTGACCCACTGTATAGCAGTGACCTGGCCAGGAGCTAGGGACATGTAATCTGTGTCTGAGGACTTACTCATTTGTAAAAGCTTGCCCTCCAGTTACATCTTTAAGGGTTTCCATGTTCAATTAGACAGGAGGAAAAAAATTAAAGGTGGCCTCCCTATGGAACTTCCTATGTAGGCCAGGCTGGCCTCAAACTCAGAGAGATCCTTCTGCCTCTGCCCCTCGAGTGCTGGGATTAAAGGTGTGGGTCACAACTGGCCATCTCAAGTCTGTTTTCTTAACCATCACATTATAGTATTGCAGCCGACTCAAGAAGGATATGCTTATATGAAGGCTTTGTTTTGAGATGCCAGCTAATAAATTTACTTAGAGGCAACAAAATCTGCAGCTTGGCGGCTAAAGGTGAAAACCAGAAAGAAGCTTGCAGAAATACGTACCTGTAATCGGCACACCCTTAAAGCATCTTCATGACACAACCCAGGGGAACTAAGACATTGCATGACTGGATCAATATTCAGAATATCTTAGCGGCTTGGAAATACTGGGCTGACACGCACAGCGCGAGCTTTGGTAGAAATAATGGTTGTACTTAGCTTTAGAAACATCAGTTCCATATGTTCAAGACCGGGGACATCTGCCTTCACAGTAATTTTTGTTCTATAAACTTTACATAGAATAATTGACAACATGCTTACATAAGCCCAACAGGGTGATATAATTGCTACAAAAAAATGTATTCTTAGAGTAAATACTGGACGGTCATTGGTCCTTATCCTGAAGAAGATTGACTCTTTGTACTTGGCATTGGCTAGACTATATGCAGAATGTTGTATTCAATTATGAATCAGAAGGGTTGTAGAATTCTGTGAGCCAGTACAAAAGGTGGGGAGATCTTATCTTAATAAAGGCTCCAGATACCATGGTGACAAATGATTGAGACCTGGAGAGATAATGAGAAGAAAGAAGGCTGTCCCGTGGATGAGGGCTGGGTTACTTAGTACTGCTCTAGACATCATGGCTGAGGTCGGGTTCCCTGGACTGCTCTAGACAGCATGGCTGTGGTTGGGTTCCCCGGATTGCTGTAGACAGCATGGCTGAGGTTGGATTCCCCTGATTGCTGTAGACATCATGGCTGAGGTCTGGTTCCCTGGACTGCTCTAGACATCATGGCTGAGGTCGGGTTCCCCTGATTGCTGTAGACAACATGGCTGAGGTCGGGTTCCCCGGATTGCTGTAGACAGCATGGCTGAGGTTGGATTCCCTGAAGTGGGAGCTTGCTCGCTGACTCCAGGGCTTCTGTGACTAGAAAGGCTGCTTCTTTCTTTATTTCCTGCCCCTGTGTCATGGGTGCCTAGACAGAGAAGGCAGGGACCATCTTCCTGCTGCATGAGATGACCTAGTCTCCAGCGATGTTGTCTGCCTCATAGAAAGCTGTCTTTCCTTTCTTTTCGGTGCTTTCCGTTCATGGACAGTGAGAGCACATGGGAAAAGCGATCTCTGGGAGGTTATTGTTTTTTGGGATTTTTTTTTGACTGATTAAAGTAAAAAAAAGTTCTGGAGAAACATTAGTCTACATATTTTATGCTTAAAATGTGTCAACCTTGAATTTCAGCTGAGATCCTGCGTCAGTTTCCTGAGGTAGGGACCCTACCTAGTAGACAGTCAAGACTGTGTGGGCCAATATGGTGTCTTCCTGTCCCCATCCACAACTCCTCCTCGCTTACTTGCCTCCACCATGTATAAGGAGTGCAATCACCCTATTCCCGCATTAGCTCTGATTGATTAACCTGCTCAGAAACTCAGAATTGTTATTCGGATAATCTTGCAGTCAGATTTAATGGGCTCACTGTCAGCTGGGATGTCAAAGTGTAGGTTTCGATTTTGTGGCTGCAGGTGGCTTCAGCCCTTGGGAACTCCTGCCTGATGACAGTTTTGCCAGTTGAAAACCCACCCCAAGGAGCAAGGGTCCAGAGCAGCAGTCTGCAAAATGGCCCACAGAGCATACTTAAGACAAGCCGTCTGTCCCTCCGGCTGCTTGTTTAAAGTACAGATTTCAGCTAGGTATAGCTCAGTGCTGGATGCTTGCCTGGTATATGCAGGATGCTGGGCTCGGTGCTCAGCCCTGGATGAGAAATTTGTAAGGGGTGGGGGTGGGGATGAGCAATGTTCTACTTCAGAGTTTCAGAGGTTTTAGTCCAAATGGGGGATGGCAATTGGCCCATGGTTGGGGGCATGTGACAAGCTGCGCCTCACAGTGACATACATGGTGTAGGAGACCTGCTTCCCTCACAGCGGGTCAGTAGGAAAAGAGGAAGAGGCAGGATTCCTTAATCCTCTCTGAAGTGTATATCCCTGATGAACTAAAACCTCCCGCCGGGCTTCACATCCTAAGTGTGCCACCCCAGCCCCTTCATGGTGCCAGGCTACTACAGGGAGTTAGATGGAGATCATAGTCTATTCCAGAGTCAGCAAGATGTAAAAAAAAAGGGGGGGGGAGAATAAGCAACAAACAAACAAGCAAAAAGCCTTGTAGAGGTTTCATGGGGAAGACTGCCCAAGAGGCTCCAAGCAGTTGGTCAGCGTGGGGTGCGGGACTGGGACTCAGCCCTGCTAAGCCTTGGCTCCCTCTTTCTTAAAGTGCAGCGATGTGGTCTGATGAGTCTCTCCCACCCCTGGTCCTGCCTTCTCTCCGCAGCCGTCCAGCATGCTCTGCTCACCGCATCCCGAGGGGCACTGACCATGAGCCTCAACTCCTCCCTCGACTACAGGAAGGAGCTGAGCAACCTCACTGCAGCGGAGGAGGGTGGTGAAGGGGGTGTGGTCGCCGAGTTCATCGCCATCATCATCATCACCGTGTTCGTCTGCCTGGGCAACTTAGTCATTGTCGTCACTTTGTACAAGAAGTCCTACCTCCTGACCCTCAGCAACAAGTTCGTCTTCAGCCTGACCCTGTCCAACTTCCTGCTGTCCGTGCTGGTGCTGCCGTTCGTGGTGACTAGCTCCATCCGGAGGGAATGGATCTTTGGCGTGGTCTGGTGCAACTTCTCGGCTCTTCTCTACCTGCTGATCAGCTCGGCCAGCATGCTCACTCTCGGGGTCATTGCCATCGACCGGTGAGTTTGCATCAGACTTGGAGAATTAATGACTTATGGAGTGAGGGATCTCTGGTCCACTCACTCCAGATGGATGAGTTTGTTCCTGGGAAGGGCACTAGAAGATTCTTCCTCTAGTGTGCGGACTGAATTCTATCTCTTTAGCTCCTTAGCCAGAGCCTTTCTCATTGTATCTGTCTATATTTTATGTATAGTCAGGTGCCACGTACGATGTTGTGGCAGTGGGCGACAGATTGTCTATTTGATACCATGTAGCTTGGTGTGCAGCATGTCTTACATCTAAGTTTTGTATCAGTAGTCTGTAATGTCTTCTGCATAACAAAATTAGCAAATGATAGGGCTCAGAATGTATCCCTGTTGTTGGTGATGCACAGCTGTAAACTTTATTTTATTTTGTTTTTAAAAAAGAAGGTTCATTACTTTAAAAAATAAGACAAACCCTCCCCCCCCCCCACCGAACCTCTAGTTCTTGTTTTACACTTGAAACAAGGGCCAAGGAGAGCGGAATTGCTGGAGTAGGAACTGAGTCTTCAGACTCAGCCGCTCCTCCCTGCTGTGTGCTTGACAGGTCTTGCTTTGACCTTTGTCCCATCTTGACTGGGACCTCAAACGAAAGCCCCCTTTACTCTTTCGTTCTGTGAAGACAGGCCAGGACAGGCTGGGGGAGCAGTGGGAAGGCAGACAGTCTAGGGAATGGTGGTACCTGGAGAAGCCCAGCACACGTCTCAGTCTGTATTGACCCTGCCCGAGGTGCAACTGAGGCTGAGGTCAGATGCTGATGGCCATACTGCTTAGCTGCACCTCAGGTTCTCGGAGTCCTGCCAGTGTAGCTATACGCATGTCAGTGGGACTTGTCAGCAGGTTCCAACCCACAGTTATTGGGTGGTTTCAGTCGTCATAGACAAGAGCTGGACTTCCACTTCTTCTTCTTTTTTTCTTTCTTTCTTTTTTGGTTTTTCAAGACAGAATTTCTCTTTGGAACCTTTCCTAGAACTAGCTCTCGTAGACCAGGCTGGCCTTGAATTCATAGAGATCCTCCTGTCTCTGTATCCCGAGTGCTGGAATTAAAGGCGCACGCACGCCACCACTGCCCTGCCGAGCTGGACATCTTGAAATCAAAGAGAGTGAAGTCAGGGTCTGTGTGCTTTTCTGGAAACTGTGAAGGTTACTAGGGGGAGGGTCAGAGAAACACAGAGGGCATTAGTCAGAGATGTTGTCACAGGCTGACACAAAGTCTCCAGACTCTTGGGAACATGGTTATTTGGGTTGGACTGGCTGCCCTGAGTCCCGCAATGCTGGACCCCAAAGCTGGATTTTTGTTTTCCCCATGGCTTTGTAGAGAATGTACAATGAATAAGTCAAAATGAATTTATTAGCATTTCCAAATGTCTATTTATCCCAGTAATAAAAGCATCATAAATCAAAAGAATGGAATAGACACAGTCCAGCCTGCCAGGGACGTTACTGACTGCTTCCCGTGTATTTGCCTCTAGTACTACTTTTCAGTTGTCTGCAGTACTATTTTTTTATATATTTTTTAGATTTATATATTTTATGTGTATGAGTGTTTTGCCTGCAGTGGCCAGAAGAGGGCATCAGATCCGTAGACCTGGAGCTATGAACATTGTAAACCACTAGCTGGGTACCGTGAACCAAACCCAGGTCCCTTTGCAAGAACAACAAGTGTTCTTAACCATTGAGCAGTCTCTCTGGCTGCCCTATAGTACATCTTAAAAAAAAATTATCTCATTTTTAATTATGTGCCTGTGTGTTGTGTGTCTGTGTGTATATGTGTGTGCATGCATATGTGTGTTGTGTGTCTGTTTATATGTGTGTGCGTGCATGTGTGTGCTGTGTGTGTGCGTGTGTGTGCAGGTACAGGTGCCCAAAGAAGCTAGAAGAGGATGTTGGATTCTCTGGATCTGGAGTCACAGGTGGTTGTGAGTCCCACAGGATAGCTGCTGGGAACTGAACCCTGGGTCCTTTGCAAGAGTAGCAAGCACAGAGCCGCCTATCTCTCCTGCCCAGCAGTACATGTTTTTGCCATCGGTTCATGACATGTGTGGGTCTACGCTCTGCTTTTCCATATAACATGTCATATAAACATAACCTTGGAGAATGTACTACTAGTGGTCACGTGTTGCTGTATCTGCAATGGACTCTGACTTAGTTTTCAGTACCCTAGTACTGGATTTAGGTGGTGCATGGCTCCCTGTAGTGCTCAGGTGACCCTGTCCATTTGTGGAATTTCTGTCTCTTCAGTCAAAGTGAAACACACTTTCAAGATACTTGGAGAAAGACAAGGGGCTTTCCAAAAGTTAGACAGATGTGCCAAGATGATTGCATCACACACACATGCACACAGACACACACACGCACACAGACACACAGACACACACACACACACACAGACACACACACACACACGCAAACACACGCACACAGACACGCACACACACGCACACAGACACACACACAGCACATGCACACACGCACACACACGCACACAGACACACACACAGCACACACACATGCACACACACACAGCACACACACATGCACACACACACACGCACACAGACACACAGACACACACACACACACACACAAAGAGCTTGGAAGTTTGCTGGCAGTAGAGAGAATCAGATCTCATTGGCATTTTACTCTCCATTTTAAAAAATAGTTTTTGAACAGTTATCTCTTGGCTAGTTCTTGGGTCCCGGGGCATGTAGCTCGAGGCCAAGCAGCTCAGATGCAGGTGAAAGTTGGTCCTCAGAGCCCACGCAGCACTGTCTGCACTTGATCATAGCGTCAGCGGTCCGCAGGGGTAGCTCCAGGAAGATGCAAATTGCTTCCTTCACTCTGGGCTCAAGTTAAGTGAAGGCGAGAATGTCAAATCCCAGGCCACCAGAATGCTCATCAGCAGTTTGCCTGTGCCAGCGCTGGGGGCATTTGCTGGATGTCCCTAAAGGCTCAAGGCCCAGCCTTTGGGTAGCAACCTATAGGCACGGCCTGGACACCAAACTGTCCACCAGAGCAGCATCTTGGTAGCACAAATTCAACTGTGCGTGTTGATATTAGTGTAATAGGAGTCACTACTGCTGGGGTGAGGGCAGTGAATGCTTAAGGAGGGGCAGCATTTGAGTGATATCCTAAACAGTAAATAGGATTGCACACATATATAGGAAGTAGGGCAATCCCTTCTCCTTAGGGAATGGGCTGTGTTTATCATTTGTAAACAATTATTGAGCACTTGTACTGGGGATGCATAGCTAATAAGGTGGGTGAACATGCTGTGAAGTCAGTATTGAAGGGGGGATAGAGCTGCAGATAACTGGAGTGTTCCGCTGTGGAAAAGATGCCAGGATGTTGTGGGTGCTGGGAGAATGCAGAGGAAGACAAGAGAAAATGAGGTAGAGGTGCCCAGGGTGTATGACAGGATGTAGCGTCTGGGGGTCAGAAACCAGGTGATCGGGTCGAACACAGGCGGAGTCCTCACAGCCTGGCCCCCAGGTCATTCACTGGAGCAGCTGTGAGTGGAGAAGGGGCCACCTTACGATGATGGAGACTTACCAAGACCTGGTTGTCTTGAAGAAATGCTCATCTCTCCCATCAACACAAGATGGCTTCACCGTGGCCTGGCCAGATCTTTATGACTAAGCTATGTCATTAAAAAAAAATAATAAAATTGGGTCTGGAGAGCTTGCTCAGTAGTTAAGAGTACTTATTTCACTTGCAGAGGACCCAGGTTCAACTCCCAGCACCCACGTGGCAGCTCACAACTGTCTGTAACTCCAGCTCTAGGGGTTCCGACTCCCTCTTCTGACCTCCTCAGGCATCAGGTGTACATGTGATGCACATACATCTGTTCAGACAAAGCACTCATGTGCATAAAGTAAAATAATCTAAAACCAAGAATTAAAAGAAAATTTAGTGTCTTTAGCTATGTGAATGGCAGGCACTATTTATTTTTTATTAATAAACATTAATGTAGATTGAAAATGTCAATTGACTAGACAAGTTGCATCTTTATGGTAGTATGCGATATAGGGAGACAAGGGGAGGAAAGGGGGGAAGGATACAGGAATCAGAAACGCATGAAGCTGCATGCGGAAGGGCATCCCTTTACTTTCAGCACTCTGGACTGAGAGGCAGGTGGATCTCTGTGAGTTCCAGGCCTACCTGGTCTACAGAGTGAGTTCCAGGACAGCCAGAGCTACATAAAAAGGAGACCCTGCCTAAAATGTTTTTTTTTAAAGCAATATAGAAAACAATGGCCTTGGTCATGACTTTTCCTGTCACAGTTTACATAACTGTCGTGAACCAGACATCTTCCTTGTAGTGTCAGCATTTAGCTTAGCTCACTTTCGAGACAGCCCTATTAATCTCTGTTTTCCAGATGTTCATAGTGATGCAGAAGTGTAAGCCAAATAAATCCTTTCCTTGAGTTGTTTTGATTGGTTATGGTGTTTATCATAGGGATAAAAAGCAAACGAGGGTGGTCCCTGAGGAGAATCGCTGAGTACGCAATAAGATGCCCTCAAGGATAGCTGAATTCTTTTTTTTTAAATTGTTTTTATTGAGCTTTGCATTTTTCTCCACCCCTTTTTTTCCTCCCCTCTTCACTTCTCCCCTCTCCCGTGACCCCCCATGCTCCCAATTTTTTCAGGAGATCTTGTCTTTTTCACCTTCCTGTGAAAACCCCTGTATGTCTCTCTTAGGGTCCTCTTTGTTGTCTAGGTTCTCTGGGGTTGTGGACTGTAGGTTGGTTTTTCTTTGCTCTATGTCTAAATACCACTTCTGAGTGAGTCCATATTATAGTATAGCTGAATTCTTAAACACAAGAAGGCTTTGATGTGCTGACCCGCACACCGGACCATGTCCTTGCTAGTGTCCAGCTCTGCGACATTGTGTAGCCTGTCGCTTGTCTGGGAGGGTTGGGTGAAGGTGTCTTTTTCAGAATCCTTCACAGCGTAAAGGTTAGGTGGGAGAAGTACAAGAGTCCCCGCCCAAGCAAGTAGGGCATTCTGCCTCCCTGTCAGTCGTCTCTCACCTCCCTCATCTTTTCTCTAGCTACTATGCTGTCCTGTATCCAATGGTGTACCCCATGAAGATCACAGGGAACCGAGCCGTGATGGCTCTGGTCTACATCTGGCTTCACTCTCTCATTGGCTGCCTGCCACCGCTCTTTGGGTGGTCATCGGTGGAGTTCGATGAGTTCAAGTGGATGTGCGTGGCTGCGTGGCACCGGGAGCCTGGCTACACCGTCTTCTGGCAGATCTGGTGCGCCCTGTTCCCCTTCCTCATCATGCTAGTGTGCTATGGCTTCATCTTCCGTGTGGCCAGGGTCAAGGCCCGAAAAGTGCACTGTGGCTCGGTGGTCATTGTGGAGGAGGATACGCAGAGGGGTGGGAGGAAGAATTCCAGTACCTCCACTTCCTCCTCGGGCAGCAGGAGGAACGCTTTTCAAGGCGTGGTCTACTCCGCTAACCAGTGCAAAGCCCTCATCACCATTCTGGTGGTCCTGGGAGCCTTCATGCTCACCTGGGGCCCCTACATGGTTGTCATTACCTCAGAGGCACTCTGGGGAAAGAACTATGTTTCCCCAGCCCTGGAGACTTGGGCCACATGGCTGTCCTTCACCAGTGCCATCTGCCACCCTCTCATCTATGGGCTCTGGAACAAGACGGTGCGCAAAGAGCTCCTGGGCATGTGCTTTGGGGACCGTTACTACCGGGAGCCATTTGTGCAGCGACAGAGGACCTCCAGGCTCTTCAGCATTTCCAACAGGATCACAGGTAATTTGGGGACCTGTTAGGAAAAAGACCGCCACACCCCCGGGCAGATGTCACCCGGGGTCCCTCTCAGTTACTAAGGGTCTGTCAGTGTAGCGTTTCTCAGGAGGACTGTGGCCTCGAGGCGCGAGACCCAGATTTCCTGGTGTGAAGGGCCACCCCAGAGTAGCCACAGTGACTCCCACCTAGCTGCCGAAGGAGCATGCCAAGTAGGAGGCGGGGACCACTGTCAGTACACACCCCTAGAGAAGGAGACAGGAGGCGTTGTGTTTTGGAAATCCATTTTCTGGAACCCTAGCCAGGCCCTCATGGTCTGGAGGGGATAGCCACTTCTTTGCTGCAAAGGAAGAATCGGAGCCTGGGGCCAGGCTGCCTGCTCCCCTGGCAAACATTCTCCTTGAGTGTCACCACTCTTGGATGCTCTTTCTGGGCTGCAGTGGCTCGCTTAGCCTGTCCCTCCTCTCAAACACTTGCCACCTAGAGCTTTCTCTCCCAGGCCAGGGGTTTCTTCTGATGGTTGCTGATAATCTGGTGTGTGTGTGTGTGTGTGTGTGTGTGTGTGTGTGTGTTTATGGGGGGTGGTTATCAGTACTAAACATAGCCTCCATCAAAGTGTCACTGTCCTGTGCTCAGAGCTACTCTACATGGAGGACACACACACCATGACACCAGTGACAACTAGCGTTTGTCGTTATGCCCTTTACAAGTCCCAGAGGAGTTGCTCTAGTCATTTAAAAAAATTATGTATATACACATATACATACATTTGTGTGTGTGTGTATATATATATATATATATATATAATTTTAGGTTTAGAAGAGTTGGAAAAATAGTATAGGGAGCTTCCCATCGTGTTATCAGTGTACATTACTGCAGTACAAGATCAACCCCAGAAACCCACACATGTTATACCTCAGCCATGCCTGGATCCTTCTGTAGAGGGTTGGTCAGGTCTTTTGTAGAGTGCTCCTGAGTAAGCGCACTGGCACTCAGAATGATGTATATTTTGGGCGAGAATGCTGCCGGAGTGGTGGGATCCTGTTCCCGCATCAGATTAGAAGCGCATATGGTATCGTATCTTATTATTATTGAGTTACCCTGGCCTGTTGCTCAGGTGTGGGCTGTCAGCTTTTCTGCTCAGTCCTGTCTCCGTTGTAATCGGCACAGATGCTAGCGGATGCCTTGAGGCTGGGACTATCCTAGTTTCCCTCTGGTTCCCACCCACTGATTCTAACTTACACTGGTATATCTTGCTCACCGTGGTGTGGTTATGTTGTCCTGAAGTGAAGGTAGTTGGGATTTTAGAACCACACTGAGCTAGAGAAGCTATTGGAAGGAGATTTCAAGAGCACCTTTATAAACCCAGCTTGCTTTTAACCATCAGCTCTTGATTAATGAAACTGAGACTTATTATTAATTATGAAAGCTTGGCCTTATTTTAGACTGGTTCCCACCTACCTTTTAAAACTTAACCCGTTTATATTAATCTACATTCGGCCACATGGCTTAATACCCTCTCAATACCATATGCCCTAGTTCCCCTGAGTCTTGGTGGCAAATCTCCTTCCTCAGATTCTTTCCCAGAGTTCCTCTCTCTCTCTGGAAGTCCCGCCTATCCTCTCCTGCCTAGCTATTGGCCATTCATCTCTTTATTAAGCCAACCAGAAGGTGCCCTAGGCAGGTGAGGAAGGACAGTGATACACCTTCACACAATGTACAAAAAGATTATCTCAACACACCTCCTTCAGCCCATAGCTCCCACTTCGTGCCAGATAACTAAGACCTACTTAGTCTCTGCTCTTTAGGAAATAGAGATCCTCTACCTTCACCCTCAGCAGGGCAGAAGACACGGCTCCTGTTGCCTGTGAACACTCAGGGCCAGAGATGACGAGATGCCCTGCCCATGTGCCAGTGACACACATCTGTTGACTGATGTGCTTCGTAGACTCGTGGAGAGATATTTCTGGACAAGGCACATCTGGTGATGCTTCTTCTGACCATAGGAAGGAAAATCATCTCCATTTATTAGTAGGAAGTGCCCGCCCCTTGTCATTTACAAACTCATGTTCCCAAGTGTGACTCGAGCCAGAAGGTACATTCAGTGCTTGACTGCATTTTATTGGTGACTTTGTTGGCTCAGAGTTTATAATAACGTGTCTCCTTGGCAAAAGCTCGTAGCTGTTGTCTATTCCATCGGAGCTAAGAATAACGAAGGAAAAAGTGAGGACAGAAAGCGACAGAGGCAGAGTAGACAGGACAGAAAGGAGCATCCGTTTCTTGGCCAAGATCTACTGTGTGGATTGTTTCTGACTGTCCTGGAAAGGACTCCCAAGCTGTGGCAGCCATCGAAAACACCAGCTGTGGTTGGGTTGGCAGACCCAAAGCCATTGGCGGTCTGAGGCTCATTTAGGGAAAAGCAGCCTTGTGGTTGATAGGTTCTTAATCCTTGGCTTCCCCAGGCCTAGGAGTGGGCAGTGGCTCTTGCTCCTCTCTTAGAGTCTGGCTGCAGGAGGTCAGTTAGCCATATTAACTATGCTGTAGGTACTGGGGAGCAAGACAGAACACAGGTCTATTCCAAGTATACACTCTCTGACTGTCCATACCAGCAATACCCACTGCCTTCAAGATCAGGAGGGGCATCCCTGAGCCTCCGTGCAGAGCCCTCTGCCTCAGACAGGCTAATCGGACCTTACCATTGCCCTCTGCACCCAGGGCTCTGGAATGCAACTGATCCCTGAACCCGGATTACCTCTCTTGCCATTAACCTGCTTTCAAACTTGCTCTCCATGCTTGGGGAAGACAAGTGCCCTGGTATTCGCAAGGGGAACAATAGATGTCTGGTCAGATGGAGGCCCTGCCATGTTTTGTGCTGCATTTGTACAGTGCATGAAAAGCTGTCCCCTAAGAAGTCGTTAACTGGAATTATCAGTGGTCCTGATAATTCATGCAGAGGCAGAAGCATGATATTACACTTGCCTGGAATGTCCCTCGTACATGACAGAATGTGTTCACCTGTAATCACTGGCATACTAGCTGTCGCCGAGCCACCAAGCCCTGTTGCTTCTCAGGTCTCGTTAGCAGATTGCCACGGTGAATGGTTGGGTTCTCTGGGAATGGAGATCTCCAGGGCACTGGAAGCTGTCTGGAGTGCTTCCTCGTGGTGGGTAGGGCAGCCTCTGGGTGGAGGTTGCGCCCTAGTGCGGAAGGTAAGCTGAGCGCTAACTTTCAGTTGGATGCTGAACTGATGGGGGCTCCTGGCAGAGGGAGGAAAGCAAAGACTGCAGGAGAAAGGGCGAGAAGAACTAAACAGCTCTTCTGCTCAGCCCAGCCCTGGGGCCCCAAGGACAGCCCCTGTGTCCCAAATGTGAAGACGCCTGGTGATGGAGGGCAGAGCTGTCTAGTTATCTCCTGGGAAGGCGGGTTCCATCTGCCATTCACTCAGAAGAAAGCATGTGTCACAGCCTTCTTGGAAGGTCTGGGGTGACAGTGGGCATGGATGGGGGGTGGGGCTGGAGGGATGGGTGGGCTAAGTACCACCGAGGCCTCTGAGTTTTCCTCCTTCCCTTTTCTAAATGTCTCTACTGGTGGCACCGGGAGGTCGTCCAGTTAGTTAAATAAATTCCTGCTGCATCTTGGAACCCTGCCCTGCCCTTCAGAGTCTGATATGCACAGGCTCCTTTTAATCTCTGGTTCTGGGGAGCAAGCCTGGTCCCTGGGCCTGGCCTAAGGGTTAGATGTGGCCCGTTCCCGTGGGATATGGTGGTGTCCCATGGAATCTCAGGGTAACTTGTCTACTCTTCGGAGGGGAATGCTTCGCCACCGAGCCACAGTGGTCTGGCTCAAATGATCCCTCTCAGTAGAGGAGACCAACACATGCGTTCCTGGCCTTTGCCGCAGCCTCAGAGATGGCGTCCAAACCCACTGTGGCTGCTACCATCCCAGTGGGCAGGAGATGGCCCTGAGGGGCTCCACTCCTCGCAGCAGGCCTTCTGTTGAGTATAGCCATGTCGAGAGGCCGATGTGGCAGAGGGGAAAAGCAGGTCCAGGGGAGACGTGGGGGTCTACTCTGATTTCAGCCCTGTACCTAACCCTGAGTAAAATGACAGCTGTGTGCGTGGAAAGGTCCTGAGAGAAGGTGGCTGCCGCTACGCACCTCCCCAGCCTCGCCATCCCCTCCGCGGCTCTCAGGGAGAAAGGGAAGCATATAGTATGTCCTCTCCGGGACAGGAGAGAGCTGTCCCTAGGAAGGACAATGGCAAGACCAGAGAACAAGAGGGGCCAAACTTGCTATTAAACCAAGACCATTCTCCCCGCATCCTCATTTTCATTTATTTGTTTTCGTTTTGTGAATGAGTGTTTTCCCTGCACGCGTGTGTGTATCACGTGCCTGCCCGATACTGTCAGAGGCTAGATGAGGGCATCGGATCCCTTGGCAGTGGGCTTACAGAAGGTTCTGAGCCACGATGTGTGTGCTGGGAACCGAACCTAGGTCTTCTGCAGGAGTAGCACGTGCCGTTAGCCTCTAGGCCACCACTGCAGCCCCGTGGCCATTCCTGAGGTGATTGACCCCCTTCTGTGGTAAGAGCAACTTGTCCGTCCTTGGGCCTCACCTTTCAACACTATTGGTTTAGGCATTAAGTTCCCAGCAGAGGAACTTTTAGGGGGCACAGTCTACCATATTGACCATTAGGCCCGTTTGTAATTTCTAAGAGATATTTATCTTCATATTTTTTCAATAGTTGCCAGCTCTTCTTAATGAATTTTTTTGAACTTTGCTAGGTACCCAATTATTTTTTTAAATTTTTTATTCATTTTACATATTAACCACAGCTCCCCCCTCCTCCTGCCCCCCCACCCTCCAGTCCCACCCCCCACCCACCCTCTCAGAGAGGGTAAGGCCTCCCATGGGGCAGTCAGCTAAGTCTGGCATTTTGAGTTGAGGCAGGCAGCTCTCTGCCCTCTACTTCAAGGCTGAGCAAGGCATCCACCATAGGGAATGGGCTCCAAAAAGCCAACTCATGCACCAGGAATAAATCTTGGTCCCACTGCTGAGGGTCCCACAAACAGACCAAGCCACACAACTGTCACCCACATGCAGAGGGCCTAGTTTGGTCCCATGTAGGCTCCCAAACTGTCAGCCCAGAGTCCATGGGCTCCCACTAGCTCAGGTCAGCTGTCTCTGTGGGTGCTCGGTTCTTTTTAAGATCTCTGTCGTCTCTCATGTCTGCTGTGCTAGGGACTGTCCTTGACTGTGTGGTGGTCCCTGCCATCCCTTCCACTTTGGAAGGAAGACACTAGGAAGCCTCTGGTGAGGTAGGCTCAGCAAGCTTCCCTGTTGTAGGGCGCTCCTTCCAGCCTTCTCCCTGGCTCCCTGCTCTCAGCATCCACACATCTGGTTTGTTTCGCTGGGGAGCGTTCTCTCGTAGGCTCTCATGGCTTCCTCAGTCTTCCTGGGTCCCTTTGCCCCTGATGTCTCAGTGCCACTGCTCCTGGTTTGTTCTCTGTTCTGCTGATGTGGGGTGGGGTTCTGAGGCTGGGAAGAGCCCCAGCAGGGTCCAGCTGCTTGCTACAGAGACTGTCAGTGGAGCCCGCGGTCTGCCGGGCAGTGTCTTGGGCCTGCAGTTCCCAAGCCTTAGCGGCTCTCCGTGAGGACAAGACTTCTTCACCCACTTTAGTCCATTGTCTGGAGACACTCGGTTCTCCTTCCCAGGTCGTTCTTTCCTTCTGTCTTCATCCTCCTGCTTTGCAGCTTCTCCTCAGACTCTACCTCTGGGAAGAGTTATTAACTATTCAAATAGAAGTCCTGGAGGTTACATTTTCCTGTGTGCCTGGAAGGCTTCCTCACGTGACTGCTCACCTTAGCTTTCCCTTCTGTCTGTCGTGGTGGCTGATGTGGGCAAGAAGGTTCCCCATGGGAGTGGGAAAGAAACCAGGGTCAGAATCCGGGAAAGCAGCTGGGGCGGGGCTGTCTTCCAGTGGGTCAGGAGTGAGATTTTATAAGCGTCCAGAACGAAACTGGCAGGCCAGGTCCACTGGGGGCCGGAAACTGAGACTTCAGCTGCCCAGGATAAAACAGATACCCACCTGAGCAGCCTGTGTTTATCCATCGATGTCAACTTTGCCTTTCAGACTTGGGCCTGTCCCCACACCTCACGGCTCTCATGGCAGGCGGACAGTCCCTGGGCCACAGCAGCAGCACCGGTGATACCGGCTTCAGCTACTCCCAGGATTCAGGTACCGTTCTTACTCTGAAAACCTCCCACCCTGTGTTAATTTGCTCAGTTAACTGCTGCCTGGAGGCTCGCCCTTGCCCAAGGAGTGCCAGCTGCGCCTCTGTTCTCTCTTCTACTGAATGGGCCTCTCGGTTCCTTCTCTCCCTACCCTATGGTGTGATGGTGAGGTTAAAAGTACAAGAAAGCCTTCAAAAGTTAAAATTTAAACCGGTCGTGGTGGCGCACATCTTCAATCCCAGCACTTGGGAGGCAGAGGCAGGCGGATCTTTGTGAGTTCGAGGCCAGCCTGGTCTACAGAGTGAGTTCCAGAGCAACCAGAGCTGTTACATAAAGAACCCCTGTCTTGAAAAACCATCATTAAAAAAAAAAAGTAAACTTTGAAGAATCTTTGGTTCTTTGTTTTGACACTACCTTATGCTATCTATACGTGACTGGCCAGGCCCTGGAGCCCATCTCCCAGGCTCTTGACGGCCTTCCTCTCCCTGCATGTTTGTTGAGTGGCCCTGGCTGGGAATAACATGGTCAGAGGCTGGAAGCCTCTTCATCCACTTAGTTCACAGGTTTCTGTTGGGGAACTGAGGTACTTGGCCAAATCTGAGGCTGGGGCTCATGCTCTGGGCCTCAGAGGGAGAGGTATTGAGTCCCCCCACAAGCAGCCAGTGCTGCTGTCAGCTCCAAGCTTTCTATCTCCGCACCCCTGGGAGCTTTTGTCTTCTTGGCTATAAACCTCTAAGAGCTGAGCCCTCTCCTCAGCCCCACTGGGAGCTTTTGAAAAAAAGCTTGGGCTGTGGAGCGACAGAACCAGGTAGGCTCAGAGAGAGAAAGACTTCTGCCTGAGGGTGGGGAGACAGCCTGGGGAGTAAGAGACAGCCTTTCCCCCAGACACAGTTGAGGGATGCACAGCCTGGGGAGTAACAGAGACAGCCTTTCCCCCAGCCACAGTTGAGGGATGCACAGCCTCTGGACACCATGTGATGTGCAGGCTGCCAGACAGGGACAACCTCAGGGAAGACAGAATTTTCTCGACTGATGGTCTCATCTAGGTATCAGTTACAAGGCCTACTCCTCTTCGACCAAGGGTTCCAAGACATTGTGTCCTAAGGCGATGGGTGGAGGGGACCACCTCGGGATACCTGGGTGTTTTTCCTCAGGTGCTGTCCACCCTTCCTTCCTTCCTTCCTTCCTTCCTTCCTTCCTTCCTTCCTTCCTTCCTTCCTTCCTTCCTTTCTTCCTTCCTTCCTTCCTTTCTCCCGCCCTCCCTCCCTTCCTTTCTCCCTCCCTCCCTCCTTCCCTTCCTTTCTCCCTCCCTCCCTCCTTCCCTTCCTCCCTTCCTCCCTCCCTCCTTCTTTTCTCCTTCTTTCCTTCTTTCCTTTCTTTTTTTGATGGTAGGTTAGATTTATCTGGTCAGCTGATGGTGTGGCAGCCCCATCACTGTCTGTAAACTCCCGGGTGGATGACAGCTGCTTCAGGACGATCAGCTGAGCTGCCCGTGGGACTGAAGGCTAGCAGTCAGGGTCACGAGGTATTGGGCAGTGGGAGGACGAGGCCTTGGTGTCAGGAACTACTTGTGCATGATCTGCCCTTCACCATAGGGACGGATGTGATGCTGCTGGAAGACCACGCGTCTGACGACAACCCTGCCCCCCACTGCACCTGCCCACCCAAGAGAAGGAGCTCCGTGACATTTGAGGATGAAGTAGAACAGATCAAAGGTTGGTTTGTGGGGCTGCTTCAGTAAAACACGTGGGTGAGGAGGGGATTTTAGCCACACCCTTCCCGCAGAATGCGCCAAGGCTTTGTCACCTCTGCCTCCTTCCCTGATGCCACTTGAATCTTGAATTCTGAGGCATCTGACTCAGAGCGAGCAACATCTAAGGTGGGACAATGTAGCTGTAGACACACACACACACACACACACACACACACACACATGCATACACATACACACATGCGCACACACATATACACAGGGATATAAGGAGAGTGAGAAAGCTCTAGAGACTGTAGAAATATGATCGAGGAAGTTGAGGTCAAGCTACCATCCTGATGAGCAGACCTGAAGCCTGCGAGGACACAGTCTGTTCACTGGGCTTTCCTGCGCTAACACCCAGCATGGGCTTTCCTGCGCTAACACCCAGCATGGGCTTTCCTGCGTTAACACCCAGAATCTGTGCTGCTTTGGGATTGGGGCTAGTTTCCCACCCAGACATGCCAAGTAGACAAGTGACAGAGGAGCCACTCAGGCTATTCGGGTGTAGGAGTCTCACCGGGTGAGACTACCATTGGCATAACAGAGCCCCGAGTCTGCTGAAGCCCAGAGTTTTAAGGTGTAAGCGCTGAGTATGAAAATAAATATGGGCCTATTATTGGTCTCCTTGTATCCTGTCCCATTCCCATCCAAACTGAGGGGAGAGGTGGTGGAGGAGCTCAGAGGGGAATATACCAGCTAAAGCTTCTCCTCTGACCAAGTAGATTCACTCACAGAGCTAGCCAGCAGGCCTTGTGAGCGTCCATTGCCTTTCTGCAGGATAATGAATCCAACTGCTCCCCAACCTCCCCCACCGGGAGCCAAGCTTTGCCCTCTGTGTCATGGGGTGGGTAGGTCTCAAAGCGCCCTCTGCTGGTCTGGTGCTAGGAGGGAATGATACCTCCTCCTCTGTGTAGGGAGCAAGACAGGGATGCTAAAGTCTGTTCACATCCTTCCCTCCTGTAGAGTGTTCTCCAGAAAATGTAAAGGGAGGAGAAGTTCCCCCAATATCCCGAGAGCTTAGGCAGTGAGGTCTGTGATAGTTTTACTCTGGTTTGGGAATTAAAAGCCACCTTCATTCCTCTTTCTAGTCAGTGCAGGTGTGTGTGTGTGTGTGTGTGTGTGTGTGTGTGTGTGTGTGTGTGTACACGTGTACGTGTGTGGAGGGTGTCCCTAATCCCTCATAGGATGGTAGAACTGTTGATATCACTTTCAGACCCGAGGCTTTCCACCCTTAGGGAAGCTCTGAGTGAAATGGAGAGGAGAAGACGTGACATTTCTAAGTCATACCTACTTGCTAGGCTGTTCCAGGGAGGTGCGGGAAGAGAATTCTTTTGGAGACATAAAATAAAACATTTTAGGAAGAATTCACTCATTCACTTGTCATAGTAACCATGTGAAGAAAGAGATGAGGAAACTAAATCAGAAAATAACGCCTGGCATTTCTCAGGGAGTAAATTGGAACGTCGAGAATTTTAGCCTGGGGAATCTGATGTCAGCATCCTTACATGTTATCTCCGCTCCTCTCCCTGGGACAGTGAGCCAGCAGAGGCCATAGTCCTGGGCTAGTCATGGGTCCTGGCTCCTGGGCTAACCCCCTTTCTGTCTTCTCCCACAGAGGCGGCCAAGAACTCTATTCTTCATGTGAAGGCTGAAGTTCACAAATCCTTGGACAGTTATGCAGCCAGCTTGGCTAAAGCCATTGAAGCTGAAGCCAAAATCAACTTATTTGGGGAGGACGCTTTGCCAGGGGTCTTGTTCACAGCACGGACTGTCCCAGGGGCTAGCTTTGGGGGGCGTCGAGGCAGCAGGACTCTTTTGAATCAGAGGCTACAGCTACAGAGCATTGAGGAAGGGGACATCTTAGCTGCAGAACAGAGATGAAGGCCTCAGTGGGGGCTACTGGTACTGGTGTCTGTGCCAAGGTCCTGGAAGACGTCACCCCTCATAGAGGGCCAGATGCCGGGAAGGAAACATTGGGTATGCAGCCAGGAGGACTGAAAACCCCGACCTCAGTGTCTGCTGTGAAGGCACATGTGGGCTGCATCAGGAATCAGGGTCCCTGGGCTGGAACGAGGCTTCCAAAGCACACTGGGAAGAGACGGAGATGTGGCTGCAGTTTTGGGAGGACTGGAGGCGATGGGTTTAAAGGGAAGCCCCATGTGGATTATGTCTTCACCACTGTCCTACTGGTCTAACTGCTCATGGTCTCAGTGGTAGTCCCTACTCAGTGCACCTCACGGCATACAAGACCATCTGGGGTTCTCTGTGGTTGATCCAGGCAGCATGGGGCCACATATACTAGACTAAATACAAAATAGTCCAGAGAGACACCCAGAGTAGAGCACCTTATACAGACACCCTATATCTACCACCCTAGTTAGGATTTGGTCTTTGGTAGCACCTGCTGCTGGCCTGTAGGAGCGGCCCACAGGCCACCCAAGATGGAGCCACCCCACCCACCTCTTTGTTGGCAGATGTTTTAGTATTTGAAAAGAAGGGAGAAACCACTATAAAAGGCAAGGGTGAGTACCAGGCATTTCATTTCCAAAATTAAAAACCCAGGAGATAGGGCACACTCCTATCACCTGGGCTGTGATGTCACATACAGTGGGGAAGAATCTGGGGGGAAAATCTCTCACACAGGAGATGTGGAAGATGCTTGACAAACATGGTTGGCTTCAATTCCCAGGAGCAATTGTGACTGTCACTGCATCTTTGGGGCAGGCACAAGGTAGAAACCGGAGTTGAGTTCACAGCCTGGGTTCTTGGCCCAGCTTGGTCTTTGTCTGTGTATCATCTGGAACATCCTGTCCTGTCACTGGGCCATTTGGAGACATGGAAGAGAGGAGGGAGGAGCTGGAACAAATAATCTCCAAGATAATTTCCAGCTCTGATCTTTGATGTCTTCTGAATTTGTAATTTAAGAGATGGGAACAAACTGAACATGACCAGTGGATGAACCAGCATTTGTAGACTTTTGAGTGTGTCCGCAGTGAACACACACGGAGCTACATGCACACTCTAGCCTCGTATCTTTGCACTGCTTGGCTGTTTAGGGCAGTCCTAAATGCCGACTACTGAGACACGGGTCTGGAGAGGGTGAGGCAGCTGAGGCCACGGTGGGGGAGGGGGTGGGATTCCGTGGCTTGGATCCCCAACCCTTGCTCCTTGAGCTGGAACTTGAAGTTTGGGCTTTGAGTCCTTGTCGTGGTCATCGAGAAGACAGCCTTCCTGCTTCTCTTAAGTCTGGGTGCTGAGATGAGCTAAGGTCAGGGATCTATCTCCATTTCACAAAACAAAAGAAGACCCCAAGATCTTTCCGTATCTGTCAACAGGCAAACACTCCAGAGTGAATTAATTTTCAAGTGTTTTCCGTGGGCTGCCTGGCCTGTGGTGTGGCAGCATCTTTTTCCTATAGTTCCTGGTCTGCAGCCCCCGAAGACATTTCATGAGACTTGGCGTTTGCCTTTGTGTGATTGATTTTGTCAACACCACCCACTCCAGGACAGCTGTGCAGGGGATTGGCAGGATTTGGGGTGGAGAGGCAGGGGATAGAGTAGAGGACAGGCATTGCTCTCGCTCCTGGCAGCATTTCTGTGCTCTTTCTATTCTGTTCTCTTTTTCTAGTACTTGTCCAGTGTCTGGGGAGACCACATCCCTAATTAATCAGTATATATAGAAGCAGAAGATGGCAGAGGCCTTGCCCTCTAGGTATGGGTTGCAATACCCCCTAGGTATGTTAGTGCAGTAGATTGCCTTAAGACTCAAAGGGGGGAGAGCTCTTTCTTGATTGCCCTGGGCCAGGCTTTATGGGAAGGATGCTGAGGCCTCCGAGTCCTACTGGCTGACCCCCAATTCATTGGCATACGAGAAGAGATCGTTCAAACCGACCTAGAAAATGGAAATTTTACTGTTTTTAACGGAAACCCACGCCTTTTAAAGGAGCGAGGCCTACCCATCTCCCCAACACTGCAGGCTGTAAAGCACCTCACCAAGCTTGGGGCAGTAACACCAGTGTTTACCACTTCAGAGAGGGGCTGCTTCTGTGGATGCAGAGCATCAGGTCGTCATGGCAGAACTCTGGCTCCAGAGGGTCTGAGTTATTCTAACTAGGACCTTAGGGCTGGGCCAGTCGAGCAGGTGACAGTTTCCATTGAGCCTAGGATGTGTAGGAGTCAGAGCTATAGTTTCGCATATTCAGGGGTTCTGATTTGCCCAACTGAGCTAGAGAGAAGTGAGCTGGGGAGAGAGAGAGAGGTAGTCCCACACATTCTCTTTCGTCCTCTGTGGAGGACACCTGCCTTTGTGTAGAAGCCCACCATCCCAGCCAAACGCAGCTGTGTTAGCTGCAAACTTCTGTGCAGTGGCAGGCCCTTCCCAGGGGACTCATGGGTATGGACAGGTGGGACATTCGGATACTTGTTTACTTAAATACCTCAGTTTTGATTCTGACAGGACCACTGTAGGGCCATGGCCTATCTCTGCTGCTGCTTTACGAAGATTTTCCCCTTGACTTGGTTCCTGTGCTGTGTTCCAAATGCCAGCTGTGGGGCCTTTTGCATCCCAGGAGGCACTGGGTCCCGCACTGCAGTGTATACAGCTCAGCACCTGGTTCTTCCCCTGGCCAGAGAACTCAAACTGGAGTTCAAAATCTTAGACACTAGATGGCAGCAGCATGGCGGTGGCGAGAAAAAAAAAACCAAAAAAACAAAAAGCAGGTAGCTTTGCTCCTCTGAGGCCTGCCTGACTACAAATCCCTGACCTTGACAATGGATCCTTCTTTGTGTGACGGCTGTTGGGGCTCACAGGAACTACCTGCACAGAGCTGTGTGATCTTAAGCAAACCACTACTCCTGGGACAGGCAGGGCGGTAAAGACAGTGGCCCATTGGTGCTAATGTTCTTAGAGTCTCATTTGTGTAATGGATTTCATCTTTCAGCCAAGAATAAAACCATCACCACCAAGACAACTCAGCATCTGCAATAAAGCACTGTAGATTGGGTCTAGACAAGAGCAGGAAACGAATGCCGATATGGAGAGAGCATACAAGTCTGTTGAGATAGAACTATTACGAGTGCTATTCCAAGAGGAATATGTGCTTCTTAGATGTGCAGATTAGAGACATTTCTCAGTGGACCCTAAAATGACCTCATGAAACATGTTTGGCCTCTTTTTGTCTGTTTCCGTATCTGGAAGGAACAGTGAGGATGCTGTGGCTAAACAGGAGGAGGCCAAGAACAGGCATATGTGTGCCTCATTGAAGACATCTAAGAGCCTGTTTTATGCTAGGCATTAATTGAAAACTTCAAATGCTGCATCTGTAGAGATGGTGCCAGTATGGTGTGGCATGGCTATGAGTTAAGATCTCAGGTTGCCACTTTCTTGCTAGGTGCTTGGGGCATATTACTCAGTATTCCAGCATCTGTAAAGTGAAGTTTTGCAATCTGTTTGTATAGAGGGACACAGACTCCAAGGATGCTGCCTGCGTAAGGTGCTTGGCGGACTACAGAAAGGCTTCCAGTGCATTCACAACAGCATGTAAGTGCAGGCAGACCTGAGCCACCGGTCTTGCTGTTTGCTGTAACTGATGGGGTAGAATCTTTCCTGTTTTACAGGGATTGTTAATACATGAGAACCTTCAAAAGAGATGTTATCCAGTTCAGGATAATTAACTGTGTTGAGGGTTGCTGCCCTGGGGGAATTACTTGCTATTCAGTATAAAGGGACTTGATGAGGGTGGAGGATGATGGCAGAGGGAAGGCTATAATAGAGAGGAGGCTGGAAAGGCTGAGTAGGAACAAAAATGAGCTTTTCTAGTTAAGCCTTCCTGCCACGTTAATGACCTGCTCACATGAGAAATATTTCTTCAGTACCCCAAATTAAAGATAATATATAGAATCCATGTCATTTCAACTTTGGCCTTCCTTATACCCAGAAAGGCTGCCCCCCACCAACTTCACCCCAATGCCTTCAGGTGCTGAGGACCACTCAGTCCAGCAGTGACAGTGTCTGGCTCCCAGCTCCCAGAGCTCTTGTCTTCCAAGACTCTGATGAAAGAGACAGAGGAGGTACAGGTGTCCATGGTGTCCATGCCACTCCCTGGAGTGTACAGAACCTGCGGAAGCCTGAGGACCACAAGAACATGGATGCGACCAGCTGTAAATGACTACAAGGTGGGACAGAGGAGATGAGAATTCAGGAAGGCCATAGGATTGCTGTGTCTCAAAATGAGGTAAAGCAGAGGCACATCCAAATCCCTAGGTCTTGGTCATGAGGCTGAGAAGGAACAAGCCTTTGTAGCCCAAGGAGAAGGAGGCACAGGCGGGTTAAAGGTCATCCTTAGCAGAGTAGGTCAGCTGGGCTTTCTTAGACAGGGAGGAAGAACCAAGGAGTTTCAGTGATGTAAAACATGGCCTTGAAGTCCCAAGGCCAGGTGATCCTCTGTTGAAAGACTTCAAAGCACTTCAAAGCACATACACCAGTCTGCACAAGGTTACCACAAGCACAACTTTGGTCAGTGTAATTTTGGCACACAATCTACCACTGTTTGAAATGCCAGAGATCACAGGTGAGCCAGCTCCTCCCAGAGGAAAGGACAGTCCCAGTGGACTTGGGTGACAAAACCATGTCAAGTGTGGCAGAAAGCCTTCATGCCTGGAAATGGATGTCCGTGGAATAGCCATGCTCAAAGAGAGTCCTGTGTGCTGTTCTGATGATGTATACCTAGAAGTGGTTAAAAACCAAATTTCAGAAATATAAGCCCAAGATAACCCTGAAATATATTTAACTTGAAGTTTTGGATGATGTTCTTGAAGATATAATTGTCTAGGGTTATTATATATAAATCAGTATTTATGGTTAAGTAAAAGTGTATTTAGACAAGTTTTGTTTACCTGATTAAATGTTTCTGGAATGTGTAAATTGTCTGTTTGCACTTGAACTTGTGGTCTATGGACATTTTTGGGTGCCTGTCCTTCCCCCAACTCCCCACAGCCCTATTCCTATCTCAACTCTCCATGGGCTAAAAGGACTGAGCAGCAAGAGGAAACTTACTGCAAAATTAGGAGTGAGGATCCCCATATTAAAGTCTTTTGGACAGATCCATTAATACATTTTAATTTCCCAAGGTGGTTTAACTCAATGAGTTGCATGACTTGCTTACCATATTCAAGACCTCTAAACCTGATTTTTCTTTCTTAGTGTAGTCCTGGCTGGCCTGAAACTTCTGCCTCCCAAGAGCTAGGATTAAAGGCGTGTGCCACCACTACCAGCTGTTTAGCCTGGTTTTTCAGAGGTTTAATGAACTAATACTTTTTCATCTATCTATCTGTCTGTCCTGTCTACCTACCTACCTACCTACCTACCTACCTACCTACCTACCTACCTA